TCATTCACTCTCCTGCAAGCCAAATTCAACAGACGTTGGCTCTGTCTTACTGTTCCTGTCTGTGCGTTGCGGACTCACCCTCGCTCCTGGGTCTTGTCCTTCGTTGTCCTCACCTGGCAAACTCACAGCTTCAGCTCACCCAACACCGTGCAGAACCTGCTGTAGCTACACCTGGTTGGAGCAAAGCCGGTGAGCCTTTCCGGTGTGCGGCTTACTAAGATATGTATTTCACATCATAGTCTATATCTCAGGCCATTAATCACGGCTTTTTAAAAAGATAGACTGGAGAAAGGGAAGGGAGAGGAGCCGCTCTGATAAAAATGCACCATCCTAGTCTGACCAGTGTGGCTCAGTGGCTGCGCATCGACCCACGCACCAAGAGGTCACCGGTTCGATTCCCGGCCAGGGCACATGCCCAAGGCCCAATCCCCGGCGCGAGGCGTGCAGGAGGCAGCCAGTCGATGTTCTGTCTCATCCACATTTCTGTCTTCTCTTCCTTTCCCTCTAAAATCAATAAAGAGGAGAAAAAATTTAAAAAAAAAACACAAAAAACTCACCATCCCCTGTTCAAACACTTTGTATCTCCACTTGGTGTTTGCTTTGCTTCCCTGTCCTTTCTAACGGGCCTTTCCTCTGCTGGTCTGCTTGCTCTTCATGTTTCTTTGTGTAGCTTGGTTACATTTTACTAGAATGTAAATTCTGTGAGAGCAGGGCTATTGTTTGCTCTGTCGCCACTATATTCTTATGGACAGAACCCGGAATCATTGGGGCAACAAGGTATTCCACTGAATGCTGAACAAAATATTCAGTCTTCTACCTTTTCAGTGAGATAGAAGTGGAAGTCGTATCCTGGAAACCATGGAAAGCTCTTTAAAAAGGGATACACTCCACCGGCTTTGTCCTGTTGCCCTCACTTCCCCTTCGTTTTCCTGCCTGAAATACAGATGCAACTGCTGGAGATGGAGCAGCCATTTTAGGATCATGAGGGTTAGTTAGCTCTGTCTAAGGATGACAGAACCAGGCACTAGAATCAACCTTGGTCCTTGATGTTTGCCAAAAATCCCTGATCCAGTCTTGATCCAATCCTGGGGACCCGCATTAGTTTTGCCCTGTAGAAGACTCCTGTCACATGGAGCCACATGGAGGGAAGGAATTGACAGTGTAGAATCTACTGAAGACCTGTCACGTTCCCCACCCCATTGGATAGCCCTCCAAAAACAGACCTGCTCCTCCTCTCACCCGGCTGAGAATCACCATCACAAGGAGCCACGGTTACTACTGGAAATGTCACTTTCCTCAGATGTGGTAGGTGACTCAGGACAAAACGTTAGGAAACTCTGCCTCAGGAAGGCCCACGGTGAGCTGAGGGCGTGGAAGCGTGGACCTGCTGGGGCGGCCGCAGACTCCGCGGCGGGTAAAAGGCCGGGAGAAGCGTGCCTGAGCCCGGCGGAGACGCGGCAGAAGGTGCTCAGAACGCTGCCAGGACGGCGAGGGGCTGGCGACAGGACCCCCGTTCAAAGGCACCGAGCGGCCACCGGCCTGGATGGCTCACGTAAGGCAAACCTTGACCTCTAACACATTGTTAGCAGATGTCATCCAGCCTTGCTTGGCCACTTCCAGTGACTGGGAGTTGACAAATTTACATTGTTGAAAAACAAACATAATAATTAGAAAGTCCTCTTTACAATGAACTTATGATGGCTGCATCTTAATATTCTGTGCCAGCTACATAGCACTTTATATACTTATGTAAAGAGATGAAACACCATTACTTTTTTTTTTTTAATCCTCACCTGAGGACATTTTTTGCATTTATCATCTGATAGAGCGGGAGGGAGAGAGGAAGGAAGAGAGAGAGAGAGAGGCACATCAACTGGCTGCCACCCACATGATCCCAACCGGGGCCGGGGACAAACTGCAACCAAGGTATGTGCCCCCAGTGGGAACCAAACCTGGGACTCTCTGATCCGCGGGCCATTGCTCTAACCGCTGAGCCAAACCAGCCAGAGCCACATCACTTTTGATTTGATAGTCATAAAAGTCACGTGAATCACTTGAAATGGTACTCTTACCTCAATGTGACCGTGTGCAAACATGGACTGAGAGGTCACCCAAACTTGTGCAAGGTTTTACAATTTCTAAGTGGAGTGGTTGGATGGATTTGAACTCAGGACTGCTGGGCTCAAAGTCAAGCACTATTGCAAGCTGTCATCATTTATTGATCAGTATTGATTTGCTGAGCCCCTACTGTCTACTGGCCACTATGTTAAATGCTGAAGCCCTAATGGCAAACAAGACACACCCTGGCCCTCCTAGAATTAACAACTGGCGAATGCCTACCGGGGAGCCCTGCATTTAGCCCTTGATAACACAGAGAACGCATCCATTCCTCCCTCTGCATGTCAGTATTCAGGTATCACACGGCTTCAAAGGTGTCTCTTATCCAAACAAAACACCTGTTTCTTCAACAGCTCCGACTAAGTCAGGGATTTTGGCTCTGTCAATCATCCTCACACTTTCCTCTGGACACCTTCTATTTTTTTCAGCCTCTCTCCTAAGGAATGGCACCCTGAATCAGACAGCCCTGCTCCCAGTATGGTCTTGGAGACCATGGCCTCAGACGATTCGGAGGTTGAGTGCCACAAGTGTAGCTTGAGCTAATTGATCGATCTGTTTGGGTTTCTCATGGCAATGCCGGCTCTTGTTCACTTTGTGGATCACCGAAACCACCAGATGGTCTTCCTGTGAATTACAGTCAAGTCAACTCTCCTCCATACTGTATTCAAGTATTTGGCATTTTACAACTAAATGCTGGGCTTCAAGCATTCCCGTTAAATTTCACTTCATCAGCTGGACCATCGTTACATCCTTTGAGGTCTGCCTTATCTTGACTCTGTCAACTCTAAGGTTATCTCTATATGTATTGTGAATAAATTAGATAATCATATCTTCTGTGTTACTGACAAAAATGTTGAACTGAACAATTTCAAGGACAAAACTCTTTCCAAGAAGATTAGTCCCAATTTGTTAGCCTTTTACTTGAAACTCTGTTCACTCATTTATCCAACAAATTTTCATGAATGCTTTCTTCTGGGCTAGATACCGAGATGAGAAAAATGAAACCACCTGAGTTTGTAAGTTAGCAAGACAGACGTTTTGATGTCCAGCGGAGTGTAGGGAGGCCCCCTCGGGAGAGCCAGCAGTTCCACTCGGGAGAAGCAGCTGGAACCGCAAATGGCCTCCACCTCTAAGGCACAATGAGGGACTTTATCAAAAATTTTGCTGAAACTACCATGGGCTAATTCCATAATTAGGCATTTCGCCAATGTTCCAAATTTGGAATCATATCCAAACTTGGAACTGATGTGATCTACCATGACTTGGTCATAGTGATCCCATTTGTATCCTATTAGTTACGTCAGAGAAATGCATTCAAACTCCATAATCGCCTTTAGATCTCTCTTGAAGTTAAACAATCAACATAAATGGGTCTGATCATCTTCTCCCACGAAACCCACACTGTAAAGGACCTGCAGGTTTCTTGTTCCCCAGCCAACTTCACCTGAAGCCACTTTTCTGATCCTGAGATACTTGGTAGGTGGATTACATATCACCCCAGCCCTACAACAGCTTCTCTCTCACTCTTTTCTCTTCCTGTCCCAGGGGAACCTCATCAGTATCCAAAAGGAGGTCCATGGAGAGACAGGTGCAGATGCCACACCTGTTATGGCCTTTGTCACATAACACAGTGCTGTTTATTGTACAAATTCCCGCGAACCTGTGAGTTTTGGTATTTTCTCGTAATCCAACATTTTCCTCATGCAGGATTGACACAGTTTTGCTAGCTTTGTAAATTTATTTCCCAAATTTTAGTTTATAATATTTATTGTTTCACTCTTTGTCTTTTGTATGTGGTAAGTGCAAAATCATGCATTAACTAGCTACTGGGGAGGCGGAGGGAGGTCGGGCTGGGGAAGAAGAACTGTTCCCAGTCGTAAAAGGAACTGACGGTCCCGTGGGGAAGACAGACCTGCACGTGTGCGGCATAAGGAAGTGGCTATTCCGGTTTCTTTATGATGGGCAAGCATTTTGCAAAGACGAGCTGTGTGAATACAAGGCTGGGACAACCATTTTCTAAGGGCAAGGGGCCGAGGGGGAGGGGCAAGAGCATAGCAATGGCTATCATCACCTCCCGTACAACTACACACGTTATTTTAACTGTGTTTGTGCTAAAATCTCACTGTACCAGAGATTCACCACCTCCGACCAATTCCATACATTTGCATTTGAATCTGCAAACAATTTCCAGTCACCCAGCTACTGAACCAAAGGGTTGGTAACTTTTCTGAAATAAAAGAGAAATACATGATTTCTCTTGTTTTGGTAGCATTCCTTTACTTTCCACTCAAGAACATCATTTCAGAAAGTTGATGTCTGTGGTCAACAAAATTACTTCTGTGAATAAAAACTATAAAATTAAGAAGTTGTGCTATTTCCCTTTTTAAAACGAACTCATGAAAAAGACATAACTTTTCCTTTTTCTTGTAAAAGGACCTTTATATTTAGTCTCTATTTTAGAACAGCAAATATATCTTCTTCGTGGAGAAAATCAGTTCACACGACATGGTGGTTGTTTAGCTACTTCCCAGACTGGAGTGTAATTTCCCAGTGTCCCCCCCCTTCCCCCACCGGCTTCAGAGAGCCTCATTCTGCAGTCAGCGTTCCGTGGTCTTGCTTGCAGACAGCCTTTGGGAGTGAGCCTCGGGAAGCTGGGCGGTGGAGCCTTGGACGTCCCCTTCCTGAGGCAGAGAGAGCAGCTTCAGCAGAGAGCAGCAGAAGGGGTTAACCCTGGACTTGGCTGGCTGTCAGTGGAACTTTTTTCTGGCTCTCCTCCGGGTTTCCCCTTGGAGGGATTTCCCTCCGCCTCTGCTGCAGGACCCTTTATAAGGGGCAGCCTTTCTGTTTCACTCCTCAGAGCCTCACTGCTGGAGGCGCTGAAGGCTCTCCCGCGCACTCAGCTGGGACGGAGGCAGGGCTTTGGCACCCGAATTTCCCATCACAGCAGCAACTTAAAATGTCTGGGAAGATGGTGGTCTCTGGGGCTTCACATCTACTTTGGATGGTGTTTGCGGCTTGTAAGTTCTGCTCTCGACCCCGTGCAAATGCTCGGGTCCCGCTTCAGCCCAGACCATGGCTGCAGGGGTCTCGCTGTGGTAGTGAAGAGAGGGTTCTCACACACTGAGGACATTTCATCGGACCGGACTTCTCCTGTGCTATTGGGTCTTGCTGTATGTCATTATATTGTCATAGTTGGAGCTGAAAATTGTGTTTTTGGGATACCTTTTTCCCAATGTCCATTGAGTATTTGGGTTCTGTCTCTAGTAAGGTCTATCTCTTTTGTTTCCTGGGCTAGATAATGAGATTAAACTTAGCAAATAGCAAAACAAGCCTGATAGATGGGCTTCAAGGTCGGAACTGAGTGGCGAAGCGGAGATCGCTCCAGCACCTTCCCTGGCGGTGACTCGTGTGCTTTCTGGCCGCCTGGCAGGGAGTGGGAGCGGATTGGGAAAGAGATCAGCCAGGTCATATTGTGGATGTTGTACTGGAACAGAGGAGAGGAGAATACTAAACGAGCCGGTGTAAGTTTGCTTTCCTCTGTTTGCCTTCACAGCTCAAGCTTTTAAAATCGAGATCTTGCCCGAATCCCCAGTTATGGCCCAGATCGGTGCCTCGGTTTCACTGACTTGCAGCACGACGGGCTGCGAGGCCCCGTCTTTCTCCTGGAGGACCCAGATAGACAGCCCTCTGAACGGGAAGGCGAGGACCACGGGGAACACGTCCACGCTGACCATGGACCCCGTCAGCTTTGGGAACGAGCACTCTTACCTGTGCACCGCCACCTGCGGCTCCGAGAAAGCAGAGAGAGGAATCAGGGTGCAGCTCTACTGTGAGTACTTTACGAAACCTTCTACTTTCTCTCCGGTCTGCCTTCAGATAAGCTTCTGAAAGGGATATTTTGAAAAGAAAAGCATTGTCCATGTCTAGATTCTAGGCCAGCGGACTTAATGCATCAGAAAGGTCAGAGACAGCTGAGCCTGGAGCCAGAGCAGGGTCCCGACCCTGGTCTCCGTGTCCGGCTGCACCGCAGGCCTGGCGACCTGGGAGAGACGCAACCGCTCTGGGCTTTGCTTTTCTGAGCCCTGAAATGAAGGTCTCTCAAGTTCTTTCTGTTTTATTTTTCAAACTTTCTATTGGATTATATCCTTTCATGTTTACTTGGCCCAACGTCTAAATGATTTATGAATTCCACCCTTCAGGGATTTTCCATTTAGTTAGTCTTATGCAATTGGGTGCTTAGAATGAGTTTAAGCAGGAAATGTATAATTTAGTAACAGGCTCTGTACAAAGGTTTTCTCCTCGGACATAAGAAAAATATCTGCATACACGTCACTCCATTGGTATTGGTGTCGATCAATTTGAGTTCCTCGTTGTTATATTTGGTGTCATTAATCCTTAATGCTCAATTGCTCAGTCTCAAGGGTATTTGCATAATGAATTAGATTCGCCTTGTGAATGTGAATGAATGCTCCTAGTTTAGCATTCCACCAACATACATCCCAGTCTATTCTCAATCCACAAATAAAGTTAGCAAGAGTGAAAAACAAACCCAGAATCAGTCACCGGCCTTTGGTTGTTGAAGACCACTCTTTCAAAACCACGGCAGTGCCCACCTCTTTGTGATGACCTCATTTAATCGTTTCATAAATACACCGCGTCCCCCTGCTGCAGCGAAGCTCAGCTTCGCTCAGAAACTGCTTCTTCAAGGAGCCCCATGTGTGGCTAAGGCTGCCCCGACCTGTGCCTGGAGGGCTGTTTCCCTCCCGCCGCTGTGCACGCCTGGTTCGTGTGTGTGCCGCCTCCTGGGCCTCCTGAAAGGCCCTGATGTAAACGCAGGGAAAGAGCACGTTCTTACACTGCCTGGCAGCAGACTGGATTACAGGCACGGTGCCAGCAGAATCTGAGGGACAGACTTGGTGCAAAAATGAGAAAAGACTGTGTTTCCTCCCCATCAAAGATGTGCAGTTCCTTTGCCTTTGCTCACTAGTACCAAGTCACCGAGGATTTAAAGAAGGGCAAGAAGACCCTTCTGGCTTTCATTATCTTGCCAGAGTTTTTCTTTCAGCGTGTCTGTCTCTCATTATGTCGAACAGTCCTGCCTTCATTCCACACTCGCTTGTAAGATTCTTTAGGGTTGAGCCCTTTGTGTTACTGTTACGGAGTCTGGAATCCAGCCAGGGTTGGCATCAGGAAGGTCTGCCGTGAAAGGGAGCCCTTTGCAAGGAGGCGGAGGCAGCCTGAGACAGCGCGCCCGGCCCGAGGGGTTAAGTGCAGGACTGACTAGGACACCGAGTGAGGCATTTCTGGGGCAGACCTGCCTTCCAGAATGTAAAGCCCGGACAGGAAGACCCTTCTGCTGACCGGTCCTTGCACGTGGCTCTCTCCATTTCTCTGCGCATCTTGCCCGGTCGCTGTTCTTTGCAGAGACATGTTGAGCTGTCAGTTCCTTATCTGTAAAATGAAAGTATAACTGCCCTGACAAAAACAAGGGAATGTGGTGTGACATACTATAAATCTGCAGTGGCCATGCCGATGACAGAAACCCCGGGTTTAAATCCCAGGCTTCACATTTACCAGCGGGGTGACTTCGGGCTCCGTAGGCCAATGCGCCGGGTCCGTGTTTTCTTCTCTGTGAAGTGTGGTTGGTCTCTATCTCTTAGGGCTAATATAAGGATAAACAGAATCATTTCTGTTGCCCTGGCTGGTGTGGCTCATTGGTTGGGTGTCGTCCCGTGCACCGAGAGAGGGCTTCTGTTCGATTCCTGGGCAGGGCACATGCCCAGCTGCGGGCTCCATCCCAGTTGGGAGCATGCGGGAGGCAGCTGGTCTATTTCTTTATCATCGATGTTTCTCTTGCTCTCTCTCTCTTCCTTCCTCTATCTCTAAAATCAACAAAAACATATACAAAAAATAAAATCGTGTATGTTAAGTGAATGGCACAGTGATAGGCACATATAAATATTTAATGCACATTAAGTTCTTCTCCCTTCTTTTACTCCAGTAACATGCAAATCTTAGTACATGCAGGATCAGAACTGAAGAACTGGCTAAAAGGTGACTGATTTCAATTTGTGAACCTATCCAAGTCATGAAGGGCAATTTAAACACTGAGCCAGGGCCATATTGACAGAAACATTCTATTCTGTTTGCATCACACTAAGTCCCCGGGGGCCTGACACAGCATGAGCAAGGAGCCCACTCACAGGTGTCCACTTGACCTTGGCAGCTTTCCCAACGGACCCAGAGATTCATCTGAGTGGCCTTCTGGAGGTTGGACAGCCGGTCACAGCCACATGCCTGGTCCCTGATGTTTACCCATTCGATCGGCTGGAGATTGCTTTGCTGAAGGACAACCGTCTCTTGAAAAATCAGGAATTTCTGGAGCCTATGGAGGGAAAGTCCCTGCAAACCAAGAGTTTGGAAGTGACCTTCACTCCTACCAGGGGGGATATTGGGAAAGCGCTTGTTTGCCGAGCTGCGTTACACGTTGAGGTGGACGAGGAGCTCCGAGAAAGGGCGGCCAGGAAAGAACTGGAGGTGTACAGTAAGTGCGGGCCGCGGCCGGGCTTTGAGGGAGTTAGTCTTGGATGTATGGCAATCCACTTGGCAGCTGAAGTCAAGAAGAAATGTGCGTTACCCCATTTTATTCGCTGAGAACATAGTATTTGTCAGCAGCGTGTTCCAGCGAAAGGAGCCCTGGATGTGAGCCGAGTTCTGGCTCCATCAGCCATGTGAACTTGGGCACTCTCTGTTTCCAGCCTATCACAGGGAAATGATAATGCCCCCTGATGGGGTGTAGGAAATGGGCTCACATGGTGCAGCTTTTAATCATGTTTGTAAACTCTTGTTTATGCCCTGAAATATCAAGGTATAGCGATCCTACAAGTGCGTGCTTATTCTGTGTGTGCGTGTGAGCACATGGCACGCGAGCCCTGGGCGGGTGCGTGGAAACGAGCTGGGATGGCCTCCACTCACGGAGACCAGTGGGTTTGTGGCAGGCCCGGAACCGGGTAGGAGGGGCCTTGCCGCGCCCTGGTCCGGACTGAAGGACTGTGTTCTGCTCTGAACACCACACTGGAAAGGGGTATTGCCAACTAGATCACATTTGAAACAGAATGAGATGGAAAGACTATTATCAATATTTTGAATAGTCAAGATAGGGTATATTTTCCCTGGAGAATACAAAACTTGGAAAAGAGAGCTGTAATTAAGTACTTGAACGACAGTGATGTGAAAAGGGGGTTGAATTTAGTCTGTAGCAGCAGAGGACTGCATTGTGACCAACATGGAGAAATTAGTTACTAAGAGGAATATTTCATTTCATTAGGGGGGGAAATGTTCTAGTAACCAGAGCTGTCCAAAAATCAAACAGGCTGTTGTGTGAGGTGGCGGGATGCCCCCACCACGGTTGTTGAGGGTGACTTAGAGGCTCACTCGGCCAGGTGCCCAGATGGGACTCCGGCCTTACCTGGGAAGCTGAACCACATTTAGGGTTCTTCTTAATTTCTGAGCATCTATGGCCAACCGAAAACACCAACCATCATAAAAGTTTACCCAATCAGATTAGTCAGAAACTGGATTGGCTAATTTGAGGGACTCAACAATTCTTTATGCTACTATGACGTAGTAAGTTTGTCAAATCCGTGGGCTCTGTGAGAGAAATCCATGATCCCTGTCGGGAGAGGATGGAGCTTAGCCATTGCTAACATGGTGCCCTATCTTTTCAGTCTCACCCAAGAACACCACTGTCTCTGTGAGTCCCTCCACGAGGCTGCAAGAAGGTGGCTCTGTGACAATGACCTGTACCAGTGAGGGGCTCCCAGCGCCGCGGATTTTCTGGAGCAAGAAGTTAGAGCATGGGGCCCTACAGCCCCTTTTGGAAAATGCGACTCTCACTTTAATTGCCATGAGGCTGGAAGATTCTGGAATTTATGTGTGTGCAGGAAGGAATCTGGTTGGGGAGGACACCAAAGAGGTGGAGCTGCTTGTTCAAGGTAAGTGCAAAGGAGAGGAAGACACTGTCACTGGGATCTGAGCTGTCGTGGAGCAGCTCCGATGCCAAGATTGTTCCGCGCCCCCCCCCCCCCCCGTGACCCTGCCCACTGCCAGCGCGGCGGCAGAGTGTGTCCACCTCACCCTCGTAGCCGTGCAGTGCCACACAGCAGTGCGCAGTGAATGTCGGAGGAGGGCCTTGTAAACGCGGGCAGCGCATTTTTCGTGTGTGAAACCAAGGGGTTCGGTTTCAGTGAGAGGGACACAGCACATCCCAGGATACCCACAACCTGAGTACTAGAGAGAACTGAACTTTCAAAGGACCTTTCGGTGACCTGATGGAAGGAGCCACAAATCCACGTGGTAACAGATGCAGCCGCTGCAAAAACAAAACAACAAAAAACCACGCAAAATGCTCCGAGACCGTTCGCGGCAGGAAGCAGCTCTGCCTTCAATGTTCCTCATTCTCACAGCCGTGGAAGGAGCTCGGAAGCTCTGGGCCTTGGTCTGACCCACCTGCTGCTTTCGGACGCTCACAGCCCATCCGTCTGGTGAGGTCATTTGAAGAAAGCCTTCTTTGGAAGATGCTACAATGTCACAGTTTAGACAAACCACACTGAGAAAAACAACTTCTCCTGGCACAGAGGAGAACATGCGTGGTGCATTTGGACTATTTCTGTGTTGAGAATTCTTTCTTCTATCCCCAGCCTGCTATTTACAAGGACCATGTTAGTGGTTTTCCGTGGAGTCTCATCTGTCACTTTGGGAGTTGGCCAGTACTTCCACTTTCTTCTGGGGGAGCCGAGTGGAGATGCTGAGTCCCCTTTCTCTCTGCACAGCAGCGTGTGCCCAGCAGGGACCACACTGGCGGCCAGAGAGCTTACTGAGCATTGGGGTATGCCCTCCCATTTCAGTTTCCAGCCCCTGAATTAATTGTAAAGATTTTTATTTTGCATCTAACCGTTTAGTGGTGGCTCATATGTTACTGTAATGCTGAGACTTTGACTTTGCTTTCAGTGTGGCTTCTGATGTTAGAAGCTCATGCTGTCGGTGCCCAAGCTCCGAGCACTGGCCCATTAGGGCACTGTGCCCCTGTTGTCATCGTTTTGTGACTTTCTTCAGTATCTCTCTCAGGTCTTGTTTTGTCTCCACGTGAGGGTGACTGGATTTAGTTGTTCAAGCCGCTGAGAAGCTGGGATCTTGAATCAGACCCACCTGGCTGCAAGCCTTAATTTGCCTCTTGCAAGCTGGGTAAAGTTATTTAGCATTTCCGAGCCTAAATTTCCCCAAGGAGGAAGAGGAGGAGGAGGAGGAGGAGGAAGAGGAGTAACAGCAGTGGTTTATAAGGTTGTTGTGAAGATTAAATGAGATAATACATGTGGTTTACACATTGCTGAATACACTGGAACCTCTTAAATTATTTGAGCTGTTGTCCACTATTGCAGGGATTCGATCAATTCTATTTGAGCAGAGACTAAGTTCATGTTATGAAAAGATGCTACCCTCTGTCTTGACACCTTTTATCCACATTCATTCTGTTCAGTGAATGAACCAACTGACTCCTGTGGGTTCCTTTTTAGAAGATATGGTCTTATTCCTGATGCTCTCTTGGCATGGATGTTAGCGGAAATCAGAACAAAACAAACAAAGGCAATGTATTGGAATGTGGTGAAAGAGGAACAGAATCTTACCTTCCTTTCATCTTTTCTCCCCCCGCCCCCCAGAAAAACCGTTTACTGTTGAGATCTCCCCTGGACCCCAGGTGGCTGCTCAGATTGGCGACTCCGTCATGCTGACATGCAGGGTCAGGGGCTGCGAGTCCCCGTCTTTCTCCTGGAGGACCCAGATAGACAGCCCTCTGAGCGGGAAGGCGAGGAGCGCGGGGACCACGTCCACGCTGACTCTGAGTCCCGTGAGTTTTGAGAACGAACATTCTTACCTGTGCACCGCGACCTGTGGACCTAAGAAACTGGAGAAGGGGATCAAGGTGGACCTCTACTGTAAGTGGTTTTCAGAACGGTTTACTGTTTTGTTTTCAATTCCTTTAGAAGAAACATCACGGGTCTGGGGTGTACAATGAGATCCGTGAGTTTAGAAAGGGAAGGCGGCCCTGGGGACGGTTCCTAACTCTCGGAACCGAATTTCCCTGCAGCCTAGTTGGCGTGAATCTTAGGTGCACATCGCGTTCGTACAGCATCAGGCGGGGGCACGCCCGTGCTCGCTGCTCGCCACCCCTCCGCGTGCGGGGTGTTTGAGGCGGGAGTGACCAGGGGCGGCTACTGCGGAGGGATGAGGTCTGCTCGGTGCTGGAACTGGGGCGAGCCCGAGCCGGCTGCTTTGAAGCAGGTTTGCAAAGCTGAGGCCACGGAGCGGGGAGCCGGGCCGAAGGCGGGGACTTCCCGCGGCAGAGGGATGGCCAAGGGCCGCGGGTCGGGTGACGGGCAGAGGCCGAGGAGCTCCAGATGCAGGCGTGGCTGAACCACACGCGCCCTGTGCTCGTCACCCAGTGAGAACCTCACACCTCAAATCCCGTGGCTCGACGTCGCTGGGGTGCCTCCGTTCCAGTGGATGAGGGACAGCGTATGCAAAGGACCACAAGTCATTTCTTTGAGAGCGGTTACTCGGCCTCGTCTCGTTCCGCAGCGTGCAAGGAACATGCTGTAGAGATTTTCCACCAGAAAACCCGCCCAAATTTGTGTTCCCCTCAGGATTTGTTCGAAATGAGTTAGCGTCTATCTGTACGGGGGTTTGAACCTCCGAAGGAGGGTGAGCTTCCTTGTGCCATCACATTACCTCGCGCCCAGCATCTGCCGACAGCCTCCGGCAGAAGGGAGCCGGCGGTGGCGCCCCCAGCGGCCGTGGCCCCCCCAGCGGCCGTGGCCCCCCAGCGGCCGTGGCCCCCCCAGCGGCCGTGGCCCCCCAGCCCGAGCAGCCGCGGAGGCAGCGCTGTAGCACATTTCACTTAAGGGGAGAACAAAGTCAGCAGTGCTCTTGGTCTTGGCAACTCTTGTCTTGTGTTTATTGATTTGCATAAGGTGTAGTATGAATATTTTTTCAGAACCAAAATTTCTTAACGGTTTTTTTCTTAACTACAAGTATTGACTGAGAAAGATTTTATTTATTTATTCATTTATTTTAAATATTTTTTTCTGTATTGATTTTAGAGAGAGGAAGGGAGAGAGAGAGAGAGATGAAAACACTGATGAGTGAGAACATCGATTGGCCGCCTCCTGCACGCCCCCCACTGGGGACGGGCCCACAACCCAGGCATGTGCCCTGACCGGGAATTGAACTGGTGGCCTCTTCCTACATGGGTCGACTCCCAACCACTGAGCCACACCAGCTGGACTGTCTGAGAAAGATTTTAAAACTTGCTGGCTGAGCCTGGCCATTGGCAATTGAAGTGTCTAAGTAAGAACTGCCCGGTGGGTCTCGTTGACCCCGAGAGCCTGCACGGCTGTGTGAGACCAGCTTGAGTTCTGATCTCAGCGGCTGCCTAGACAGGCTGCCTAATGAAGGTCTCTCAGCCCCCAAAAGATGTGTGTTTTCCTAGGTATCAAATAAGTTCTCTGCAGGTTTTCCTAACTGTAAAATCAGTTAATATTCATTTTATCAGGCTGTTTTAGACTGGGATATAGTCCCTCTTAGCAATATTCGATATACCATGGCAGATACTTAAAACATTTAAAGCATGTACTTAATAAAAAAAGGTGGTGGTTTGTCCAGCTGATGTGGCTCAGTGCACTGAGTGTCATCCCCTGGACTGAGAGGTCCCGGTTCGATTCCCCATCAGGGCACATGCCCAGGTTTTGGGCTCGATCCCCAGTAGGGGGTGTGCAGGAGGCAGCCGATTAATGTTTCTCTCTTACATTGATGTTCTATCTCTCTCCCCCTTTCTCTCTCTCTAAAAAATCAATAAAAACATATTTAAAAAAAAGATGGTGGGAGCTCACATGTCTTTGGAAAAGTCAATCCATGGCTCTTAGCAGGATTGCATCACTAAGAAGAAAAAAAATAAGTATATTTATGATTTGAAGTTTTCATTTACTATTTTTTGTTTCCAGCATTATATATATTTAATATCACAAATATTTATACGTAATGTCATTATTTACATATTGGTGATCATTGTACCCCAAGGCATTTAAAACTGTCATTTGAGACCTTTGCATTGAATAGAGATTAGCTCTGATTCTGTTGACTGTCCCACGTGAGCATGATTTTTTCTTGGTATTGACAGCATTCCCTCGAGACCCAGAAATGGAGGTGAGCGGTGCGTTAGTGAGTGGAAACCCGGTCACAGTAAGCTGCCAGGTTCCTGATGTTTACCCACTGGACCGGCTGGAGATGCAGCTCTTGAAGGGGGAGAGCGTTATGAAGAATAAAAACTTTTTGGAGGACGTGGATAAGAAATCCCTAGAGACTGGGAGTTTGGAAATGACCTTCATCCCCTCCACTGAAGACAGCGGCGAAGTTCTCGTTTGTCGGGCTCGGTTACATATCGATGAGCTGGAATCTGAACCCAAACAACGGCAGAGCACACAGACGCTTCGTGTTGACAGTGAGTGTGACATCCCCGCAATTTGATAGGGACATCTTTATCCTGTTTGTCAGGCAACAGTTAACATGAGGTTAAGAGTTAAAACCTCTGTGAAAAAGAACAAAACTGAAAAGAAATTTCAAAATAACGATTGTTATAACAAACTACCCCAACTCTTAAAACAATACCCATCTATTAGCCTGGAAGTCTCTGAGTTAGCGATCTTGGAAGGGTTGTATGGGCAGTCTATCTGCTCAGCGTGGTATGAGATGAACTCAGGCAGGTGGTCAGTTGGCATTTCAGTGGGGGATGGCTGGTCCCATTTGGCCTCATTTGCATGTCTGAGGCTTTTTCTGGGGTGTGTAGGCCTCCCTTTCTTCAGCTGCTATCTCACCCTCAAGGAAAGTGGCCTGGGTTTGGTCACCAGAGTGTTTCAAGAGGAAGATGATGAAAACCTTCTCTTCAGGCTTGGGCTTGGAAGTCCTACAGTGTTACTTCTTCCATGTTATCTTGGTCAAAGTGAGTCACAGGGCAGTGGATTCAAGGGCTAGGAACATAGACTCTACCTTTTCACAGGGGATTCCAGTAATTTGTGGTCATGTTTGATGTACCATCCATGTCAACACATGCTATCATTGGTCAACCACTGTTTTGTAGCAAGAGTTTCTATGGAACTTATTTCCATTAGAAAATACCCACAGCGTGTCCATTTTTTCTGTCTATGATTCTGTATCTGCTAAAGTAAAGCGGGACCAAAAGCTCTTTTGGTAAAGTTCTCAAGGTTGAGAAACTGTTCTAATCCATTGATTGCACAGCTTACTTTTGCAACATTAGTAAAGCTCTTTGGAAGTCACGGCTGAAGGGGTCAAGCTAACAAGTGTCCCTACCTTTTCAGTTGCCCCCAGGAACGCAACCATCCTGGTCAGCCCCTCCTCCACCCTGGAGGAAGGTCGTTCTGTGACTATGACCTGCTCTAGTGATGGCCTCCCAGCTCTGAGAATACGGTGGAGCAGGCAACTTAAAAATGGACATCTGCAGTTTCTTTCTGAGAATGCAACTCTCACCTTAACGTCTACAAAAAGGGAAGATTCTGGCATTTATGTGTGTGAAGGGAGTAGCCAGGCTGGAATAAGCAGAAAAGAAGTTGAATTAATTATCCATGGTGAGCAGAGTATGAATCAATGAGTTATTGCTAGTATTGTTTTGGTTGTATTATTGGTTTTGAACAAAGGCCTCTTAAAAATTTTTTTTTAAATTACTGTTGATGCACAGTATTATATTAGTTTCAGGTGTATAGGCCCATGACTAGATATTTCTATAACTTACAAAATGATGACCTCAATAAATCTAGTACCCATCCGACACCATATATACTTATTACAAAATTACAATATTCCCTATGCTGTACTTTGCATCCCTGTGACTATTCTGTAACTACCAATTTGTACTTCTAAATCTCTTCTCTTTTCCCCAACCACCCTCTCATCTGGCAACTGTCAAAATATTCTCTGTATCGCCCTGGCTCATATGTCTCAGTAGTTAGAGCATTGGCCCCATGAACCAAAGAGTTGTGGGTTTGATTCCTGGTCAAGGGCACATATCTGGGTTGCAGGTTTGTTTTTGTTTTTTTATCCTCACCTGAGGACATTTTTCCACTTTTTGTTCAGATAGAGTGGGAGGGAGAGAGAAGAAAAGAGAGAGAGAGAAACTCTAATGTGAAAGGGACACATCGAGTGGCTGCCCCCTACACAACCCAACAAGGGCCAGGGACAAACTGCAACCGAGGTACATGCCCTTAGCAGGAACTGAACCCGGGTCTCTCTGGACCACAGGCCGACGCTCTAACCACTGAGCAAAACTGGCCAAGGCTGGGTTGCAGGTTTGATCCTTGGTCCCAGTTGGGGTTGTGTGGGAGACAACCAATTGATGTGTCTCTCTAACAATGATGTTTCTCTCTCTCCCTCCATCCCTTCCATTCTATCTAAAATTCAATGGAAAAATATCTTTGGGTGAGGATTAACAACAACAAATATATATATATTCTCTGTATCTATGAGTCTGTTTCTGTTCTGCTTGTTAGATTTTTCTTTTTCTTTCTTTTTTTTTTTAGATTTCACATATAAGTGAAATCATCTGGCATTTGTTTTTCTCTGTCTGATTTGTTTCACTCAGCACAATACCCTCTAGGTCCATCCATGTTGTTACAGATGGCAAGAGTTCATTCTTTTTATGACCGAGTCATATTTCATTTTATATTTGCACCATGTCTTTATCCATTCATCTACTGATGGACACTTAGGTTGTTTCCATAAGTGGCTAAGTGGTTACAATAGCCATTTGGGTTGGCTATTGTAAGTAATGCTGCAATAAACATACGGATATATATATCTTTTCCATTTAGTGTGTTGGGTTTCTTCAGATGAATACCCAGAAGTAGAATTGCTGGGCCCTTCTTTGTCTCTTGTTATAGCCTTTGTTTTAAACTCTACTTTGTCTGGTATAAGTATTGCTACCCCGACTTTTTGTTTGTTTGATTGTTTTCACTTTCATGAAACATATTTTTCATCCCTTTACTTTCAGTCTATACATGTCTTTCCCTCTGAAGGGGTCTCTTGTAGACAGCATATGTAAGGGTCTTGTTTTGTTATCCATTCAGCCACCATATGTCTTTTGATTGGAGCATAAATCATTTGCATTTAAAATAATTGTTGATAGAAATGTATTTATTGCCATTCTATTGTTCATGTTTTTATCTTTTTTCTTCTTCTTCTTAAAGCAGACCCTTTAACATTTCTTGTAATACTAGTTTGGTGGTGATGAACTCCTTTAGCTTTTTCTTGTCAGGGAAACTCTTTATCCATCCTTCAACTCTAAATTATGGATTTGCTGTGTAAGGTAATCTTAGTTTTTAAGTCCTTGCTTTCCATCATATTGAATATTTCATGCCAATCTCTTCTGGCCTAAAAAGTTTCTGTTGAGAAGTCAGCTGACAGCCTTGTGGGACCTCCCTTGTAGGCAGCTAACTGCTAAGAATAAAAAAGAAAAATTGAGTCTAAGGAGCCTCTGGGACAACTTCAAGCACACCGATGTTCACATCATAGGGGTGCCTGAAGGAGAAGACAGAGAGCAAACATTGAAAACTACTTGAAAAAAATAATGACGGAAAACTTTCCTAACCTGGTTAAGGAAATAGACATGCAAGTCCAGGAAGCACAGAGAGTCCCAAACAAGATAGACCCAAATCCTCTTTGAAAACAAAAATTTCGCTAAACAAATGTATCGAGGGTTTTGAGGAGCTCACGATGTTTCCTCCGTATGGATAGTGCCTGGAACAGTACCTTCTCGGGAACCATGCCAAGCATTAGCCTAAAAGTCTTTAAACTTAAGTGGACCGCTGGCTCAGGAACATACCAGGACTTTCAGTTACACGTCTGAGGCAATGGCGATGGTGTTGAAATAAGAATAGGAAGAGGTATATATGTATTTGAAAATGACTTCAGAATCAAGCCACTGCGCCTGGCTGACTCTCCGTGGTAATCTCACAAGGTACCTGCCGGTCCTTGCTTAGAAGCCTGCGAGGCACTGATACCTTTTGTAAATGCTGAGGTTGAGAGCAGCGGTACTGTGTCCTCTGCTTCAGTCTGATGGCGGAGAAAGCACTAGAGCGGATCAGGCTAACAGATCCGAAGCCTCTCTCCAGGACGGGGAGCCAAGACTGAGAATGAGATAATTTCTGGTTGATAGGTTGAAGCCATAGGCAATTTTAGGCAAAACCATGTAGTGATCAGTTTGGAGCTTTTCCCCATACTTTCCCTTTGGGGGTTCAAGTCCTTTTCTTCACTGGGGCTCTCAGACTCCTTGGTATTGTGTCCTCTCTTACTCCTTGGTATTATTTTCACTAAGGTATTAGTGAATTTCTTGTTACCTCACCTCGATGATAATATGTATTTTAAAGGAAGAACTTTGGAAGGGCAATGCACAACCTTAAAGAGAGCCCTTAAGATGGATGTCATTCTGGTTGAGGAAAGAATCTCAAAGCAAGTCCAAAAAATAGATAGACTTAAGGGAATCTCACTTATTAAATGGCGCTGGAGTACCTCCTTCCACTGGTTGTATAACAGAGACGTTGGACGTCAGGTACCTAGCCCAGTACCTAGTCTAGTAGGAAGTGGCCGTCGTCGTTAAGGACTGTAAGAAAAGCCATCTCCAAACAGCTGAGTCTCTCGATCTGGGATGATCAGCCTATAAAGGCCATTGCCCTTCAAGGAAGGACAAACCTTTTCAGGAAGGCTCTTTGCACATTGGAATTCTATAGCTGTTTATTTAGTACCTATCACTTGGCTAGGCTGGGTAAAAGATTATATTAGGGGACATGTGAGAAGCATAAGAAATGTCTTCTGTTATTAAAAATGTGATCATTTACAACAAACCAGGCAATGCTTGACATTTTACTCACTGTTTAATGGAAACAGGGCCACAAATATCTCTTTGATAGCTATCGTTGCTGTTATTAAATTAATAAGGAACTGGTTCATATTTCACTCAATCAGAGGTACCTCTCAAATTCTCTTTACAGTTGCTCCAAAAGACATGCAACTTATCGCTTCTCCTTCTGAGAATGTCAAGGAAGGAGACACTGTCATTATCTCCTGTACCTGTGGAAATCTTCCCAAAGCGTGGATAATCCTGAAGAAAAAGGCTGAGACGGGAGACACCGTGCTCAAGTCCATAGAGGGCGCGTACACCATCCGCAAGGCCCAGTTAGAGGATGCAGGAGTGTACGAGTGTGAATCTAAAAACGAGCTTGGCTCGCTGTCCAGAAGGATAACACTTGATGTTAAAGGTTAGAGTTTTGTTTTTGTTTCTGTTTTTTAGAATTTTTAACAATAGGTCAGAATTTTGGTGGACTGTAAAGAATTTCTAGGATGAGAAGAATGAGTTGGCAAAAATGGAGCTGAGTTCTGTGTTGATTGTGCTTATTTCTTAATACTTCCTAAAATAATGATGCACAGCCGCTCCATCCTATGGAGTCGAGCCAGGAAGCTGACATGAATCATTGGTGGAGTGCAGAGTTCCCATCTGCTTCTTTTAAAGTTGACAATTCATCATTGGTCTCTGAGTTCTTATATCGCTTAAGTGTTTCAACATATTTTCGAAACCTTTCCCTGGGGGTCATGAGAAAACGAAAGAAAGTAGGATTGACACATGGAAAAAGGAGGGTTCCTTCCAGATCTGTTTCCTCCGAACAGAAAAGACCCCTCTCTGAACAGGGAGTAACTGCACATTTTCTGGACTGATTCTTTTCAGGAAAACAGTTGGGAGTGGCCATCTTGATGCAGAACAACTTTTATGAATCTCTAGCTGTAGAATTGCCTCCGTAACCCTCCCAGCCCCTTGTCCATCCCACCCTATTCTGATGGCAAGAGGGGGGCAGGGGGCGATGGTCTCAGCAGAGAAACTTCAGGAGCCCCTTAATCTTCTTTCCTTTAACCCTGATGCCTCCAGGCCACTTTTAATTAAGCCTGTCCCCCAGGAAACCAGACTCCTAATGGTTGTTGTAATTCTGTTTATGGTTAACAATTCTGTTTGAAGACATGTCACAGCTTCTTCACTTTCTAACTCTTTTTCTCACACAGCAGCTGTCTTTTCTGATTGCTCCATGAAATTAGTAACTTAGATATTTGCCATTTTCACTTATTACTTAAGTGAACAATGTAAGCATATTGGGCACTTAGATGGGAATTCAGCACCCCCACCCCCCACCCCCGACTAAATACAGTTTGAAATAACTATAGATCAATGGGGCAAGACTCTGATTATTTTCCTGGGTAGTTTGCACTATTTTTCCTTGGTATTTATCTGAGGTCTAAAATGAACTTCGTCTTGTTTGGGTTTGAATGTACTCCAGTGATAGAAATAGTTGGGAGCCTTTAGGATTTTCAGTGTTTACACAGCTAATAGAAAATTGTATTTGAATGTTGCTCTGGGAACTGACTCAGCAGAAAATTTATGTTTCTCTGCAGATGGCTGGGGGGGAAACTGAAGGCAAAAGATAATCTTCATTAAATTTAGGAGAAAACAAGAGCAGAAATACCACATGTCATCAACAGTGATGTCTAACCACAGTTATGACAACGGCCACCCCATTAAAACACGATGCTGCCACTTGGCCTAGATAGTTCTACTCTAGTAGGGAAAAGTAAAACAAAAACAAAACTGAGGCGATTATCATTATGTTTAGGGTGCAGCATTTTTAACCTTAATAATTTGAAAAGTTGACTTCCCAACATGAGCCTCATGGTTCTTTTCTACGTGGGTGATCTCCAGTGATCAGAATCCTCTGGAGAGAATGTGGTGATCACCACCGTCGGATGGCTCAGCCTTCCAGGACTGCGCCAGCATGGCCTGCGAGGTCATGCCGCGCTGTGCGAGCAGTGTAGGCGGACATGTGTCTCCGGTGACTGCCCCGCTAGCTTCCCCAGATGTCATGTCAGGCTATGATCGTGAATAGTGCTGCAGCTGTCAGGTCATTCTTGGTAGATTAGAAAGAGGACTAATCTTAATTTTTGTGCACTGTTGCCTTCTATACCCAACTTACAGCTAAATGACAAAATGACAGAATGCAGAAAGAAAAATATGGATTACTATGCAAAAATATGTAGCTCTGGCTGGTGTGGTTCAGTTGGTTGGAGTGTCGACCCTTATGCCAAAAAAAGTTGCATGTTCGATCCCAGGAGAGACATGTATAGGGGGCCACCAGTTGATGTTTCTTTCTCATATCTATGTTTCTCTCTCTCCCTTCCTCTCTCTAAAATCAATTTTAAAAATGTACATTGGGTGCCAACTACTCCAAGCAGTGAGCCAGGTACTTGCTCTTCAGCGGTGGACCAAAAATGAAAATAGGTAACTTATAGTCTTCAGGAGTAAACCAAATTTAATAAATAATCATACAAACAAATGTTTAATTACAAGCTGTGATAAGAGCTACAGAGGGAAAGTACAGTGGGTTATGCAAGTACAGTAGGGCTCCTAATTCAGGCGAGGGGGGATGCAGGTCAGAGAGAGACTCTGAGTAAGCAACATTTATGCTAAAATACAGTATTACCCAAAAACTTCAGTTTACCAAGAGAGGATATACATGGTAAAGTGGAATAATATATATATAGTAAGATGACCTACTTCAGAGATACAAAATAAAAGTTTTCTGTCTGTCTCTGTGAAAGCCGTTGGCAAGAATCATTTTGCTTCCTATCTTATTCATAGTGTTTGACTACATGGTGGTTAGACTCCAGATGTTACATGATTTCCTTGGACAACTAACTGGTTAGTGATGTCCCGTTGTGGTGATCATAGTCCTAGTTCTTTAGTACATATTTACATTTCCCAAAGTAAACCCTTCTCCAGGGCTTGCTCTTGCAAACGAGCCCTAACAAGTGGTGTCCTTCCACCCACTCTACAAGTGAACGTGCATCTGTTTGGCTCCAAGTTTGTGGAAAGCAACAGCTGTCATCCTGACATGGCCGTGGCCACTAATGACCGGTTATCTGGGTGTCTCAGAGGATTATGCATTCAGGGTCCTGAGGGCCCTTCTCACTGCTTTGTCTCACGTCTCTTTAGAGAACGAGTCGTACTGTTAACACATGTAAATATAACAGTTAAACAGTTCATTTGTGCACCAGACATTAATTGCACCCATTTTGTTATTTTCCAGGAAGAGAAAGTAACAAGGACTATTTTTCCCCTGGGCTTCTTGTGCTCTATTGTGTGTCCTCCTTAATCATACCTGCTATCGGGATGATCATTTACTTTGCAAGAAAAGCCAACATGAAGGGGTCCTACAGTCTTGTAGAAGCAGAGAAATCGAAAGTGTAGCTGACGTTTGAAATGTTTGACCAGAGACGCCGTTTATCAGTCCAAAGCCTTCACACCACTCCACGAGCGAAACAGCAAACTGGAGTCCAGGTGTCCTGGGATGCAGAGAACTCTTGGGACGAAGTGGCTGCCTGCACTTCTGGCTGTGACAAGAAGACCAGTGAAACTTTCTGCCTCGGACATGAGCACTGGAGTCGTCCCTTGATGTGTATATACAGTCACATGATCTGTACATATGTAAAATAGAATTACGGCCTGGCGAGCCTGCTTGGGATAGCAGCACGTGTGGTGAGAGCTCTCAAAAACTAAACACTGTCTCCTGGACTGAGTGTTCTAACTTAATGCATCTTAGAAAAATTTAACATTGATATTGACTGGCAGCTGACCTCCATCATTTTATATTTTACTTCCTGTAACAAACTTTCATTCCTACCAAGTTCACGGACAACAACTTCATGTTTGAACAAATGCCAGGGTTTTATATTTTTACAGGCAAATGATAAACCAAGAGGGCGCGGGGTTGACTTTCAGGTACTAAGCGCTTCCACATGTGGTGCAGCGGTGGGCTGGTTCCTCTGGACGGTACTGTGTGGTACGGAGACGTTTCATGATGTTGTTTGTTCACGCTCTTGCGCAACTTTCCCTGTGGGACCTAATCATGCAACGTCTTTTGATCTTCTTTTGTAAATGTTTAGTCTTTTCGTAAAGTAAAGTGATCGTTTCTGGACTTGTAAGAGTTGTGTGTTTATTTATATCAACTGCTCCTGTAATCACGCTGTAGCCCTTTTTGAAATCCCAAGTTCCAAGGATTAACAGTTCAAACCCACAGAAATAATAAGTAACACTCAAAGCATGGACCTCAGCCTGTTTTTAAAGCATCACCATGGGAACCTGATAAGAATTCCAATTGCTTAGTACATCTTAACCCATTGAATTGAAATATCTCGTTTTGTGTCCTTGGAATCTATAATGTCAATAATTTTAAATATAGCATAGACAAAGGTATGCATCCAGATAAGCACACATATGTTCAAGGACAGCGAGTGAACACCATGTATATACCACAATGATCGACAGCCAGAGCATTAATATCCTCTTAGACACTACTCCTCAATTGCAACTCTCTTACTGAGCAGTAATCAATATCTTGGATTATATAGTAACCATTTCCTTGCTTCCTTTGGAGATTTTATACCTGTACAGGTAGCCCTAAGTAAAACATTATTTAGTTTTGTGAGAACTGAATTTTATATAAATATAATCCAATGGCCAGTTTGCCTGTGATTTTATAATTCATCCATGTTGTTGTATATAGCTATAGGTCATTCATTTTTATTAGTTGTTAGTATTTATTACTCTATATTATAGTATAGTATTATAAGATTTTGCCACAATTTATTTATCCATTCTACTGTTGATAGGTGTTTGGGATGTTTCCAGTTTTTTTCCATTATGAGCAAAGTTTCTTTTTTGGCACGTGCCCCCAGCGGGAACCGAACCCGGGACTCTCTGGTCCACAGGCCAACGCTCCAACCGCTGAGCCAAACCAGCCAGGACAAGCAAAGCTTCTATAAACGTTATTTAGCATGGTCCTGGCTAACATTGGAAAAAAAAAAACCCAAAACATTTACAGAAGAGTCATGATATATGATTTTATTTATATGGAGTTCAAAGCATGCAATGATAGTGCATAGTGTTAAAGTCAGGATGTTAGTTGCTTCTTGGGTGATAGTGACCAGAAAGGAGCACAATAGGACTTCTTAGGGTTCTGATTTTGTTCTGCTGCTTGATCTGGGGGATGGTAAAGTTAATAAAATTCACATTTAAAAGGAAGATTCTTGAAAACTAAAGGTCTACAGAGAAGAAGGGTTTAAGCCTCGAGAAGAGAAAGAGAGAGATCGAGGACACTGCCGACCCCTCCCCACATTTCATCTGTCCTGGGCTAATAGGGAAAGTCCTTTCAGAAACAAGAGTTGGATTCTCTATCTCCAGAGGTCCAGTGTGGGGTAAAACAAATAGTGGATTATTCCACCCTAGAGACCAGAGGGGTCCCCACCTCATCTTCCTGAACTTCACAAGAACTTTAAAGGGGAGACGCAGAAATGAGGTGGAAGATGAGTGAAGGAAGACAGGCAAGTCACCATTCGACAGGAGATGCTAGCTCTTTGGGAAGCAGGACATTTCTTATCTGACTGGCCGGGTCTCTGAGGCAGTGTGAGGAGTATCGGACGGCACTGTCGGCGTCCCCTGCTCTCTGGTGTTCCAGTGGGGCACCTGGCAGGGCTTCCCCTCTCGGTACATGTGCTTCGGATGGTCTGTCAATCTGAGACTGACGTGAACTCGTTCATTCGCCTGATATCCGAGCGGGGCGGGAAAAATGGTCAACTTGGGGAGGTAAGAAGCTCTTTCGGGATATTAGTGAACTTTAATTTCCCTCATAATATGTCTCACAGTATCATTTTCTTAGAAATGGGTTCAAATCTTGCTATAGACTTTTGGTAGGATCAGTTCTCAGCTGTTGGAACATATTTCGAATGTATGAGTCTGGCACCTTGACATCTCCTGCTCTGATACTGCGGCAGTCAGACCAAGATTAACAAACAGGTCGAAAGAAATTCACGCCAATCCACCTGTTACAACCGTGGCATCCCCTTCCCTGCTCTGGGTACGTGGTGCGGGAACTCAGCGAGTGGAACGCGACTGTTGACTCATGGAGCGTGTGCAGGCCCATGGCACCCCTGATGCACGCAGATCCGATCGGCGGTCTCACGCAGGGAGGTCTTCTTCTTCTTAAATCTTCTTTCCATATTGAGTCCCCAGAAATGCCTCTTTCGCTCTGCTAATTGCAGATTTGGGGAAAATGTTAGCACCCTCTGAGGTGACAATTAAAATGACTGGGGAAGGTAACAGTTGGGGTCGGTCTCCCAAATGCAGTGTCTACCAGCAAACTTTAAGGTCTTTCAAATTCCCAAGCACGGCGGTTCACTGAAAATTTACATGTTCCTTAGATAATTTTCTTTCACTTATTTCAGAGAATCTCTTTGTATTTAACCAAACAAAGGACTAGGAGTCTTTTTTTTTTTTTAAGCCTTGCTTATCAATTTTAACAGATTTTGAGAAAAAAATTAAACATTTAAATTAACTCAATACTAGGAAGTAGTTTCTGCAAGGATTTCATAATAGCCACTTTTCCCTGGAAAGAAGAAAGGGACTTTGTAATAGCTTTAAATGCCTTTTATTTTAGCCAATATGATAGTGAAAATTTCACTTCTTAAAAATCATGTGTGCAGTGGCTTTTCGGATTTTGTTACTATCGAAGAACATGGTTTTTCTCAAAAGAGAATAATCTGTAAGGCTTGCCTGAGAAGAGAACATGAACCAAACCCAACATCTGGGTTTTTAGTGAAGGACAATGCTGTTTAGAAAGAGAATTCCACTGTGTTTAGTTGATCCAGTGATTGAAAATGCAATGTTTCAGTATTTAAAATAAAAACAAAACAAAGCAAAGCAAAACTAAACTAATAAACTAGAAACAGACTCACAGATACAGAGAACAGACTGACAAGTGTCAGATGGGAGGGGGTTGGGGGGTCGCTGGGTGAAAATGGCAAAGGGATTAAGCAAAAAACAACAAAAACCTCATAGACACAGACAACAGCATGGTGATCACCAGAGGGAAGGGGGGCGGGGAGGGAGGAGAGGGTAAAGGGGGGATAAATGGTGATGGAAGGAGGCTTGACTTGGGGTGGTGAGCACACAATACAGTGAACAGATGATGTATTATAGAATTGTACACCTGAAACCTACATAATTTTATTAACCAATGTCACCCCAATAAATTCAATAAAAAAGATCACAGTGACTTTGGAGGGGGGACCAAAGGGACATAGTGAATCAGTCTTAAATTAAACTATATTGTAAAGAACTTCAACTAACTTGGGAAAAGGAAGGATTCAGTCTGTGAAAAGGGTATTTAAAATCACAATTGTAACTAAGGATGTTATTACTGTCTTTCTTTAATCCAACTTGCACACAATTAAAATTCATCAATTACTAGGATATTGAACGTTATCGTGCTTAAAACCCAACAAGTGATATTCAATGTAGAAGGCTGAATGTGTGATGAAAATGAGCACTTTTACTCTGACTTGAAGTCATATGCGGTCTTTAGAAGTTCTGAAATATTCACATGAAGCTCACTTTATTTTTTATTTTACTTTTTATCTTTTAATAGATTTTTAGAGATAGAGGGAGAGAGAGACAGAAACATCAATGAGAGAGAACATCTACTGGCCGCCTCCTGCATGCCCCCCACTGGGGATTTGGCCCACAACCTGGGCATGTGCCCTGACCGGGAATTGAATCGGCCATCTCTTGGTACGTGGGTCAATGCTCAAGGCCCGAGCCAGACCGGCTGGGCTGAAGCTCACCTTTAAGAGCAGCAGACTCAAGGAGCTGCTGTGTGCTGGACTCTCTGCCCTTGCCTTGCCAGGGTCTGCGAACGTCTACATTCCCGTGGAATTCACCCTGCTCCCAGGCAGAAAACCGCCCAACAGCTTCATCTGCCCTTGTGACCATCTCACAAAGCCCCACTTCTTCTTTGTTTGGGTTCCTCTTACTTAAGTGGCCTAGTCACTTTGCAGTTGCCTCTGACTGTTACAGACTTGCCATCCATGGCCATTTGTCCTGATGTTCCCCAAACTCCTTCAGCATGAGCACTTCACGGGTGCTCACGGAAAACACAGGGTCCTGGGCCCTGTCCCGGACCTACAGAGTTAGAATCTTAAGGCAGGACCTGAAAATTCAAAATTTTAATAACTATCCTGGTGATTCTGACGTCTGTATTTGGGAAACCTCTTTCTGGTGTCACCTAAACAATGGGTGCTCACGCCCAGAGAACACTGACAGACAGCCTGGAGGTTTGGGAGGATCCCCGGTCTGCAACCTCCTCCTCTCAGCATCTCTGCAGTCTTGGCCTGCCATTAAAACACTTTTTCCTGTCTTCAACCTCCTATCTCTAGTAACTTTTTTTTTGGTTAATCTTCACCCAATGATATTTTTCCATTGATTTTTCGATAGAAGGGAAAGGAGGGAGGAAGAATGAGAGAGAGAAACATCAACTGGTTGCCTCCTGTATGACACTGACGGGGGCCTGGGATTGAACCTGAAACCCAGGTATGTGCCCTTGACTGGGAGTTGAACCCATGACCTTTTGGTTCGTGAGCTGATGCTCTAAACGCTGAGCAAAACCAGCCAAGGTTCTAGTAGCTCTTATAAGGGTCTAATCTCTTCCATCTTGGGAGGAAAAAAGAAACTAACACAATTTTTTCTCAATCCTGCATTCCCTACTAATTCCAATTCTTCTACCTTTCTGTTCGCGGCAAGATTCTAGAAGGATAAGCAGACTTCACTACTTCTCGGTCAATGTGCAGCAAACTGCTATGCAGCTTCCAACGGTGCTCCTACCAAAGTCAGTAATACTCTTAACTGAGTCCCACTTGTCACCACTCACCCATTCACTGTTTTGTGGAGGCAGAGAGAATCCAGGCGAGAAAGAATTGTTGCTCTGTTTTCGATTTCAAGCCTGATTTATTTGAATCCATGGAAGATCATGGTTTTAGAAGGCAGACTACAGAGAGAAAGTAACGCACTTTTCTACATTCCAGAACTTCCTCCAACAGCAAG